TGACCCTAGTGAGGATTAAGGTGTAGAGATGATGGATGGATGGATATGCATGTATGGATGTGTGGATATCCATTCGTGTCTCTACATGATCATACAGAAACCTGACATATTACAGGATGCAGCAGAGAGAACAGCTGTTTAAAAAATGGGAACCACAATATGACATTTCCAGAAATACAAAAGAAAACTGTCTCAGCGTCGTCCTTTAGACGCAGGTTTTCACTCCGTAAGTCACTTTTTTTTAACAGCAGGAACTAGATTGAATATATGCAGCAAACAAACAGCGAACTCAACACTCCTCGATAGTTGGAGCACAAATTAGACAAGTTTTATAACAAAAAACAAGCTGAAAAATGTCAAACATTGTTGTGTGAAACAACAATTCAGAGGGCTTTGTGTAAGACAAAGGAGAGTTAAGCTGTAAAAGCAGCAGCAGCGAGGCAATAAAAAACAGACTAATACAGTTTCAAAGGAGCGAAACACAAAAGAGGTACAAATAAAAAAAAAGGTACAAATAAGAACACATTTGAATAAAACTGATTAAATGTGACAATAGGATTTGCACTGCAGTGAAAGGCACAAATGAATTCATTTAATTTAGTGAAGGGCACAAAACCTGAAAGTTTTCTGCAGGTGGGAGCACACAGAGGAGTCCTTCGACAGAAAATAAATTCATTCAATATCCTCAGGCAGTAATAGCATATAAATATCAGATCATAGTTTCCTCGGATGAAAAAGGAAAGGAGCATCTCAGATTTAACTTTAAAATCATGTTTTCTCAACACAGTGTTGTCGGTTTTTCATGCAGGACTCTGGTTGCGTGGCTGATTGATGTGGATGAAAAGCACAACCTCGAGGAGCTTTTTACTGCCCCCAATTACCTTTTTTTTTTTTTTTAACATGGAGGATTAAAGAGTAATGTTTGTATGGATGTAAAGCTGCTGCCCTTTGGTAGCTTCAGATGCGTTCTCAGCAGAGCACAGCCTGCCGGATTCTCCAGTTTGATTATTTTAGGCACAAAGCTCTTAGTTGCCTGCATGAGGTCAGTGATGTCCCTAACACACAAAAAACTCCCAAAACAAATTATGCAAACGCACCGGTTACATGCAGGGTGCTTTGTGCAATAAGCTACTTACAATCTATGCAACAGCAAAGACTGGATGAGAAGTTAATCCTCCCTCTCTCTGTCTCTCTCTGTCTGCCTCCCTCTCTGTCTTTATCTCTATCTGCTGCTGTTTATATGCTTCTCTCGTGTATATTTCTCCTTCTATCTCTTTCTATGTTGTTTAAGCGTGTGAGGCGAAGGCCGGCCGGCATGGGGCTGCATCGCGAGCACGTGGCCGCGATCCATTCCCCCAGTTTTCGCAGATTCAGAGCAGGAGATCACTTGAGCGCAGGTTGGCTGCCAAACGTGAGGCACGTGAGCGCCAGAGACGTTAACTACAACTAATCTGAGACAGCGCCTGCAGGCAGGAGGCCAGGCACAGCAAAGTTCCACACAAGCAAAAGCAATCAGGGCAGATATTCAGCACTAAACATGGGATCAGGCTGCTGGAGCTCCTGTCGAGTCCGAAGCTCTCTTGGTGCTCCTGGTTCCTGCCTGAAACCTGATGAAGGCAATAACAGATAATGAAGGAGGAAGGTATGACTTGTGGCTTCACAGCTGTTGCTCCTGGACTAATCGTTGTCCACCTGCTGCCACCTTGCTCATATCTTTACATGTCAATCCAGCCGCTGATGCAAACACAATCCTGCTTCTTTTTTGTGTGTGTGTGTCTCCTCTGCCATGTCAACTGATGGCAGCGATGCACAGACCGGCTGGTCGGCACGGTGCGCGGTACAGTAGGGCTTATCCAGGGGGTGAATATCCTCCCCGGCCCTATAGCCTGTCTGTCCCCATTTTTTCCCCTCCCAGCGCCATCTGCGCACCAGCCAAAGCGGAAACCAGATTATCCCATGAACGCGTCATGCAGAATCAATGGCCACTACGCTTACTGCCTCCTTATGCTCCATGTTTCTTTATTTTTTTTTAGGGAGGGATTGCCATTAAAAATCTTGCTTGGATAGAAACAAACACAGAGTTTATTCGGTTTGTCCTGGTTTCTACTTAGAGTTTCCACTCAAAGGCGTTGAAACCTTTTATTAACCGATGCTTCGGCTGAGATCTGAAGGTCAAAGGTGAAGAGTGGTGTTAATAATATACAGCATCCACACAGCAACCACGACGACAGCACATCCACACGGCGGAGGAGAAATAATTGGCATGGCAGATGGCTGCTGTCAAACAGATGTGAGCGGATGTGTCTTACAAATTGTTTACGGGATTTGAAATATGACTCATGTAGAAGAAGTCATTTGAATGTGGAGCTCCTGTGGGTGTATTCAGTTCAGAAAATGATGGTGCTTATATGGTAATTTGGTTGTCATGGTTGTGCTTCTCGGCCACTTTGGTTGGCTCTCTTTAAAACAGAAAAAAAAAGCATTATTTTCATTCTAAATAGCTCACGGTGTTGTGATTTGTAAGTCATCCGTGGTTGTGGATTCCAGGTTAAAATTACACAGCACCGTTTATTGCGGTGATATTTTCTCATCACACTGAGATTTTTCTCATTACAGACAGTTTTCGGTGCTCAAACAGGAGCAAGGTGGTCAATTGCACGGAAATCGCCTGCGGATAACTAAAAAAAAAAAACACAGAGGCATAATGTGCAGCGGCAATTTGCATAACACAGTGTGCTGTACTAGAGGATGGAGTGTTTTCGTATTTTCAGAGGCTCGGTGGGTCACGAGTCACATTGTGATGATTAGTTGTCAGGCATGTTTCAGTCGTGCAAGCGTGCATCTGTTCAGTTTGATATGGATTGCTTTGTTTGGCCGGTTTTCACAAGGGATCAGGTATTTATCTATATAAATGAAATCCTCCCTCTACTCAGGAACAATGTCTCATCAGAACAACTGGAGCGAAAATGAGTAAAACCTTCTCCAAAGAGAGGTGCAACAACTTATAGCAGCTTTCGTTTACTAGGACGTCTTGTTGCTGAAGTGTGTCTTGTGGATAAATGACAATCAGTGGCCTTGTTACAGCAGCAGTTAAACAATTTCACTAATTCAGTTCATTCAGATGAAGTGGTGGCACTTATAAAATCTGATTAAAAGAGTGGAGGAAGTTCAACTTGGCTGAACTTCGACCTGCACGTTTTCACATCTACCCAGCATCAGGTCGACTTGGCAGCAGCGAGAGATTAAACAATGAGAGAGTTCAAATAGAGGGAGCGTGTTAGCTGTGTTGCACATTTCCATTTCCTGCTGCGTTGGAGTCTTGCGCTGCTGTGACTCCCTGAGGTATGGACCTCACCGTGTTGATGCCTGCTGTATCAGCCTGCCAGTGTGATCCCCCCGGGCTTCGCTGCAGCGCTCACTCTGAGAAGGCAAGATGCTTATCCAGGACTTGTGGAAGGAAGGTAGAGGCTGGGATGATCCCAGACAGATGGATCACCTGGGAACAAGAGCTCCCCCACATGCTTCACCTGAGCTGCCCAGAAGCTACCCGCCACCATGTGCTGCTGAGGCTCCAACCTCCTCCAGAGAAGCTCACATAATTCATGATGCCTCCGAGCAATCCTGGGGATTTGTTTACTATAAATGGACTATAGGTGTCCACCAGCAAATTCATGCAGCTTTCGTGCTCGCCCAGTTCATGCAGCGCTGACAAAGCAGCAGCCAAATGCCTTGAGCTGTTTGCCGCCCCCAGTGATGCCGAGCTGAGTTCTCCATGCAGAGCTAGCCATCCCTGTTCAGCACCTCTGTTCTAAACCAGATCGAATCTTCTTGATTCATATGAGATTGTTGTGAAAACTTGTATCTTAGAAATCCAAAACCAAAACCAAAACCAAAATTCAAAAGTGCCGATCTTTAGGGCTGGAAAATAAAACCAAAGTGCCAACAACTGAAGTTCCTCAAATGGCCACTTGGGGCTGACCTCAAAAACGAGTCCATCTCCATAGACCCCCATCATAAAATATCCAACTTTATAGCAGCAATAACATTTGCACCGGCTGGTACAAAACAAACAGTTTTAGTCTC